CTGAGATCACAATGTTTAACATATTACCATATATGGGACCTAGAGGGGTCAGGAAATGCATACGTTGTATAACCTATATATGTGTACTCTGGACGCTCCTCGGGGTTCAGATCTTGTTGTTGGCTTTGGCCATCTGAACCTGCGCATAATAAACTTTCCTTCTCCAAAGAGCTGGCTTGTGTCCTTCAATTCCACAACAGTTTCCTGGCACCCGCAGATGGGACACTAAGCGAGGCGATGTTTCGCTGAGGGCAGCTTGACCCCTCGGGCCTGACGGGAAGCCACTCCTGAAACATTCTCCAGGCGCCACGGGGGAATCCCCTCCGGGAGACAGAAGTGACTTCTCTGCGGAGCCGACGGTGCAGATAGCTAGTCCAAGAACCCTTGGGGGAAGGAAAGGAGGTCTGAACTGCTCCTGGCCAGGACGTGCGTGTGTGAAGACGCCTCAGGCGAGTATGTATTAAACTGGGGAAGTACCTATCTCGCTTGAAGATAGAAGAGGGGGATTGATCGCCCCCCTAGACTCGGGACGTCGTTCCTAAAGAAGTCTGTGTTAGGGTGTGTGTGTGGGAGGTTAAGCCATCTGCTGCTGCAGTTCCTATAGGTGACTGTCGAGTTTCCAGCACCGTAGGTCAGTGGCGTTGGCAGTGTTAGTGCCAGAATGGGGGGGGAAAGTAGTGTGCCTAGCACACCACTTCAATGTATGTTAAAAGGTTTTGATCGCTATTTTAATCACACCAAGTATAAAGTGCCGTATCCCCCAGTTTCTAAGGATAGGCTGCGTTTCCTGTGTGAAGATTGGTGGCCTCATTTAGATGTGGGCTGGCCCCCTGAGGGAACGTTTAATACCCAGCTTATTGATGATCTGACTTCACTGATTGCAGCCAATGAAGAAAATTATCCATATCAATTTCAGTACATAGATCAGTGGGGGGATGCAGTAGCAGAAAGGGCAGATGATCTACTACAATGCCAGGCAGAAATGGTACGTTTGTGTGTGGTTAGACCAAAAGGGAAAAAGTTGAAAGCAGTGGAGAAAAAATATAAGGATGTGAAGATCGCAGAAACAAAGCTGTCAGATTTAAGGAAGGAGGTTTTGGTAGAAGAAGAGGAAGCAGTGCTTCGTCCCCCTCCGTATGTGCCACAGCCGCCTCCCCCGCCTCAGCCTGTGGCAGCACCCCCTCTGCTCCAGCCTGTGGCGGGGGCTGTGGCTCAGGCTGAAAGCGTGCAAGCAGTGGTGAGAAGGAGGAGAAAGGAGGGGTGAGAGATCACCCTGGAGGGGAAACTGAAGAGCTGTGTGAAGAGGGAAGTGAGGAGACTGAAGTTGCAGTCTCGAAGGGAGTAATGACTAGGTCTAAGGCTAGGAGAGGGGAGCTGCTCGCTCCTTTGAGACAGATGGATCAGCATGTAATGGATCAACAGGGAGCTGCACAGATCAAATCCATTTTCCAGTATGTTCGGTTTACCACCACAGATTTGTTGAATTGGAAGCAGCATTATGGTCCTTTAACTGTTAAGCCAACGGAAATGGCAGATTTGTTTCAGACCATTATGCAAACTCATAATCCCACGTGGCAGGATACCCAGCAGCTGTTAAATACCTTGTTAACGCCCGAGGAAAAGGAAAAGTGGAGAGCGGCTGTTAGAACGTGTGTGAGAGATAGGAACCCAGCTGCCCAGGATTTGCAAGCAGTTGTTTTGGCTAAAGCCCCAGAGACTGATCCAGGGTGGAATGTTCGTGATGACGCCCACATGACAGCGCTGAAAGAGTATCAGAATCTGGTGGTGGAGGCGCTGCGCAAAGCTGGAAAGCCTCCAGTAAATATGTCAAAGCCGTCGTTAGTAATCCAGGGAGCGGAGGAAAGTCCAGAAAGCTTTTTGCAGAGGTTGATAGAGGCTTATGAATTGTATACTCAGATAGACCCCAGGCAGGAGAACCATGTGCGGATGTTGAATGAGCGCTTTATAGCACAGAGTTATGAGGATATTAGAAGAAAGTTGCAGAGGCTGGAAGGAGCCTTAGGGAAAAATACCTCTGAATTGTTGGAAGTTGCGAGGAAAGTGTTTGTTAATAGGGATAAAATAGAGAAAAAGGAAAAGGAGGCAAGAATGCACAGAAAGACCGAGCTGTTGGCCGTAGCTCTGCAAGGAGGGATGCTATTAGGACCAAATCAGTGTGCAAACTGCAGGGAAGAAGGTCATTGGCAAAGAGAATGCCCAAAGAAAGTGCTGAGAGGACAAGGGTGGAGAGGTAGGTTAGCAGGAGGACGTGGTGGCTTCGGGCGTGGAGCACCTTTGAGGTCCCCCTTTGGAGGCAGACGTTGGAGAGGAAACAGAGGAGGTCGAGGAGGTTTTGTTGAAAGGAGAGAGATAGAGGGGATTGGATTGGCAGGGACTGGATGGACAGATTGACGGGGACCAGGCTCAGGCTTAGAGGAGACCCCCCCCCCCTGAGCCTTTGGTTACTATGGAAGTAGGGGGTCAGCAGACAACTTTCTTGGTGGATACTGGTGCAGGAAGGTCAGTTGTTAATAGCCAGGTTGCTGTTCCAGGTCCCCACTGTATACAGGTTCAAGGTGTAACAGGACAAGTGCTGGGACGCCAAGTGCTTCAGCCTGTAACATGTGTGTTTAAAGGCTCCAAGATCCAGCATGAATTTTTATACATGCCTGAATGCCCAATACCTTTGCTGGGTAGGGACCTGCTCAGCAAACTAGGGGCCACTATTTCTTTTGATGAAGGCCAGCAAAGGATTCAAGTGAAGCATCAGCCTGAGACTATGTGGAGGCTAATGGTGGTGAGATCAGTAGAGGATGAGATACAGGAGGAGACATGGAAGGAATTTGGAGTACCAGGATTGTGGGCGGAAGATAATCCTCCGGGCTTTGCCGCCCACCACCCACCGGTCATTGTAGAATTGAAACCAGTAGCCGCGCCTGTGCATATTCGCCAGAGGTCATGCTCCACTGAGGCTATAGTTGCAATATATGAGAGTATTCAAAGGTATCTGAAGGCAGGGATTTTGGTGCCTATCCAGTCACCTTGGAATACCCCCATATTGCCCATTAGGAAGCCAGATGGGTCCTACCGCCCAGTCCAAGACCTCCGGGTCATCAACTCCATGACAGTGACCATTCACCCTGTTGTGCCCAATCCATACACTTTATTGAGCCTGATTCCACCTAAAGCAGCGTGGTTTTCTGTGATAGACCTGAAGGACGCTTTTTTCACAATCCCAATTCATGAGGCAAGCCAACCCTTGTTTGCCTTTGAATGGGAAAACCCTAGGACTGGATTGAAATCACAATACACTTGGACAAGGCTGCCACAGGGCTTTAAGAACTCACCCACCCTGTTTGGTACTGCCTTGGGAAAGGACTTACAGCATTTTGTGCCTCGGCAAAGGGGGGATACCTTGTTGCAATACGTGGATGATGTGTTGGTAACAGGTCAGACAGAAGACACCTGTTGGGACAATACAGCCTCCTTGCTGGGCTTGTTGTCCCAATGTGGTTATAGAGTGTCTAGGAAAAAGGCCCAATTGGTGAAACAGAAGGTGCGTTATTTAGGGTATGATATTGAGCATGGACATAGAGCCTTGGGATGGGAAAGAAAGCAGGCAGTTCTGGCCATAGCTGAACCCACAAACCGGAGACAGTTACGAGGTTTTCTGGGCTTGGCTGGGTTTTGTCGCATATGGATTCCAAATTACGCCCTTATGGCAGCTCCGTTATATGCAGCCACAAAGGGGGGTGAACATGAGTTGTTTTGCTGGGAGGGAGAACAGAAAAAGGCTTTTAGGGACGTTAAGCTAGCACTCACATCAGCTCCAGCTTTAGCCTTACCAAACCTGGAAAAAGCTTTTAATCTGTATGTGGATACTAGGGATAATGTGGCTTTGGGGGTCCTGACTCAACAGTTAGGCCAGTGGCAACGGCCGGTAGCGTATCTGTCTAAACAATTGGATGGAGTGGCACAGGGATGGCCACATTGTTTGAAGGTCCTTGCTGCTATAGCAGTCCTGTTGCAGGACTGTAATAAATTGACCTTCTCATGTCCTGTGAATGTACACACTCCCCATGCAGTGCAGGCCATTTTAGATAACAAAGGGCATCTCTGGATAAGCAATCAAAGACTTTTTAAATATCAAGCATTGATGATTGAAAACCCACAAGTTAAATTGATTGTCTCAAATCGGCTAAATCCAGCCACTTTGTTGCCCGGAGACATCAATATGGAACATGATTGCTTGCAAGTATTGGAGAGTGTTTACTCTAGCAGGCATGATTTGTCGGACATCCCTCTGCAGGCAGCTCAACTCAATTGGTATACGGATGGGTCCAGCTATATGCATGAGGGAAAAAGAGTTTCAGGCTATGCTATAGTAGATGATGATAAAGTTGTGGAGAGTGGGCCGTTGGGCCCTGAACACAGTGCACAGGTGGCTGAATTGTGGGCATTACTTAGAGCATTGGAAAGAGCTGTGGGTGAGACTTTGAATGTGTGGACAGATAGTAAATATGCTTTCCTAACATTACATGCACATGGGGCTGTATACAAAGAGAGGGGATTTCGTGACTCAGCGGGTAAATATGTACAACATGGACACCTCATTCAACGCCTCCTTAATACAGTACAGATGCCAGCTAAGGTTGTAGTTATGCATTGTAAGGGGCACCAGAGAGGAGTAGATAAGATGTGGAAGCTAGGATCTGTGGCCATGGATCTGGGAGTTTTGCCCCCGGCAATCCAGCCAACGTATTCCCAGCAAGAATGTGTTAAGGCAGTTACAGATCTTAAGGCAACTATCAAGGATGGGTGGTACGTGTTATCTGATGGGCGCATCTTCGTTCCACAGTCCTCAGCTTGGGCTTTGGTTCAATCGTCGCATGATGCTACCCATATGGGCAACTTAGGGCTGGAAGAGGCATTGGGACGAGATTATTATATCAATGGGGTGGCTGGTATGGCAGCTCGAGTTGTAGCCCAATGTGCTACCTGTGCAAAGGTTAATCCTAGGCAAGGACCCCTCTTACCCCCAGGAACCATACCATCATCATACTTTCCTATGGACTCTGTAATGGTTGATTTTACTGACATGCCTAGATGTGGCTTGTACAAAGCTCTGTTGGTTTTTGTGGACAGGTATACGGGTTGGCCAGAAGCCTTCCCCACTAAAACGAAGCAGGCAAGGGAAGTGGCTAGAATTTTGTTAAAGGAATTGATCCCGCGGTTTGGGAGCCCATCCCTTATCTCATCAGATAATGGGCCTGAATTTATACATCAGATTAATCAGGCTGTGGCCCAGTCAGTAGGGTCCAAGTGGCGGTTCCACAGTGCTTTCCATCCTCAGTCAGGAGGTTCTGCTGAACGAATGAACCGCACCCTAAAAGAGAAACTCACTAAGATTTGTGCTGAAAGTCATTTGAAATGGCCAGACGCTTTGCCCTTGGCCTTATATGCTATTAGGTGTGCACCTCGTAGACAATGTAAACTGTCCCCCTACGAGTTAATGTTTGGGCGGCCTCCTACCCTGTTGCGACGAAACTTGGCCGGCTGGCCGGATTTGGGACATAAGGGAGGAGTGTGGGCTCTGGAAATGGTACAAGAGCTGAATAGACAAGTAGAGAAGCTCAGAAATTATGTTGTTGAACAAACTCCACCTAAATTGGTGACCAGGTGTCACTCCTTTAAACCAGGGGATAAGGTGTGGGTTAAACATTGGAAAAAAGAACAGTTGGAGGGTCGGTGGAAAGGGCCATATGAAGTGATAATGGCCTCCCCTCTTGCTATCAAAATTGCAGAATCCAAGTCATGGATTCATTGGACAAGGGTTAAAGCGGCTGCTGATCCCTTGTGGAAAGTGTCATCACAACCCACGGCTCCTACCAAGCTCACTTTTAAACGTATTTAGTGTATGCTTTATTATTTGTGTTCTTAATGCTTTACTTATATAGGATATTTCAACCCTTTCTGAAGCTACTTTGCTGGAACCTTACCGGCAATAGGTTCCTCTACGCACAGTAGTGAAGACCCTTGCTAAGCCACACCGGAAGCTGGCTTTCTACGCACGGGGGAAGATGAGGATCTTTGTTATGTTTTTTTATTTGCCTTTTTCCCTTGTTCTGGGTAATTATGTATGTGTTTCCAATTTAGGTCAGTGGAGCAGGCCAGAGGAAGCTCCACAAGTGGTACTCTCTTATCTGATCGGAACAGGTGAATGTGGTGGTAATCCCCATCTTGCTTTCACTCCAGAGTGTTGGAATGGGGTATTACCCCATCCCTGTCAGCACCCACGGGTGTTTGATAGAATTGCAAAGGAGGCGTGTCTCACTAGACAGCCTACCAATCCGGATGCCTGTCCAATTGTGGGATATATCATGAGAAAGGGAATATGTGAAACGGCCCCTTATAAAGGAGTCCTCCCTTCCATAACTCTGGATTGTGGACCTCCTTTATTCTGGGGATGGGAGCAAGTCACCCTAGTCTCACAGTTAAAACCTGGATGGAAGGGGACTTGTATTGTGCGGGTAAAGCCAGTAGAGTTTGGAGTCACAATTAGAAAACCACAGAGAACACAGTCCACTAGAAGGAGAGCTAAAAGATCCTCCCCAGATTTCAA